GTGTGGGACGGGACGATACCGAGGACGTTTTTTTATCACTCAGAGTTCAGAGTCCAAGGTAGAAAGAAACTCGCTGTCGCTGATAAGCTTTGGTTATATAATCAACATTCCTTCCAACCAGCTTCTAGGATCTGTTGTCTGTTTGCCGTCTCTTTCAGCTTGCAGGGGATACTGTGATGGTTGTCACATCTTTACAACTGTCCAAATTCCTGAAAGGAATGTTAGTCTAAAAATATTCAACATTTTATATCAGGCCAAAGTTAGGAAAATAATCAACTTATTATTCTGTATCTTATTATATTCCAAAGAAATTGATCACTTAATCAAAATAGTTCACCTGTAGCAAACAACTACATTGGATTTTAGACACTAAAAGGTCAGTTGTCCCAATGTCATGCTTAAGGGGGGGGGGGGGGGGGGGGGGGGGGGCGTTGATTTGGCTTATTGCTGTTTCATATTATCTTAATTCGCTTATGAACTTTATTGATCTCACACTGGAGAGATGAACTCTGCATTTAACTCATCCCCATTGGGGAGCAGTGGGCTGCCATTGTGTGGCCCCTGGGGAGCAGTATGGAGTAAAGGGTCTTGTTCAGGGATCCAGAGTGAAGACTGTGGGGATCAAACCGGGTATTTGCAACCTTCTCGGAGCACAGGAGCACTGCTCTAACCACTAGGCAACACTCTCAACCTATGCAAACTATTCATGGAATTAAGATCATTTAATTTGGAAGAAAACATGTTAAAAACTCAACATTTCATTTAAATTCCAACTCTTGGAGAAAATGGCTTTAGAATAAGAAGTTTTTACATTTTCCAAAGTAAAGGTTCTGGTTCCTGCTAATTTTGTAGCTTCAGGGTTCCTAGCTTAAAGCAACCGACTTGTTTCCACGAATCCAACAAACTAATCTGCTCCGCCATCTGTTTTCTTCCCCTTTTAGCTTTGCAAAAAAAAAATAAACACAATTTTACCATTAGCTTACACTTTTCTATTTTTACAGTAAATCTTGGTAAATATAATTTAAATTGATTCAAATGTTACAGTAATAAAGGCATTATATTATAAAATCCACTGATGATTAATCAACACTTAATTAAAAATACATTTAAAGAGTATGATTTTAACTAAAGTTAAAGTTACCACCAAATATTTTTTTTTTAAGTTTTAGCCCAAAAATTATTTTACTCGCCCTAAATCAGACAGGATGAGTGCTACACCAACACAAGATCCCCTTTATTATAGAAACCGCCATGTCGTAGTGAAACAGAAGTTTTATTTCCCAGTGGTCTGATTGGCCTTGTGACAATCGCAGGAAGAAGTGGCTCAAACTTCCTGTTTTCTTAAGGGGGGACTTTGTCTTGCTATTGCTTCATATCCGCTGCGTCTCCTGTTGGAAATGAAATGGTTTTCTTCCAGCTGTTATTTAGGCTTTTTAGAGTTAGTCTACAGTCTTCATACATTCATCACCATTATCATTATCAAAGTCCGGGTTTTTACTGGGCATGTCACTGGTCCATCACTGGGCAGACTATAAACCAGTTTTATGGGAGCTTACATCTACAGCAGAAAAAACAGACAATCCTACAAATAGTAGGTACATTTATACAAATTTCATTAGGTTGCTACCTGAAACTTTGATCTTTTTATATGTTTTTTTATTTTTTATTTTGATGCATAGAAATTAATCGACACATTATGACCATCTACATACTTCTGTCAGCAGTGGCTTTCTTTTTCCCACTTCCACATTCAGATAATTTGTGCTAAATGTGGAAAAAAATTTTTTTATTATTTTTGCTGGGAAAAGTAGATGTAAGTCTTTATGTATTGATGACAATTATGAAGTCAGATGAAGCTTCTTGTCTTCTGTATTTTTTGAAAACTTTCAGCTGTTTTCGATCAGATAACTTTTGAGGCTGTGGCAGCTGCAGAATCAGCAGAGGGGGAAGAAAAAAAGCATCACCTTTGGAAATGGGTCATTTATTTGCTCCTTTGTTTAGGTGCTCACAGTATCCTGTTAACTGACTGGGGGGTCAGAAAACCGCGGGAGGGACGTTTATTTTTAATCCTCTGAATGCATCGATTGGTCCCATTTATGAAATCCCCTCTCGGTTTCTTAAACCCTTCTATGCCTAAACCTCTCCATTCTCTGACCTTAACCACTATGATTTTTCCCAACTCCATGTAGATGTTTCTATTCCTGTAATAACATCTTGTTTTGTTTCTGTAAAAACTCTTTTCTTATCAAACTCTGCTTTCCTTGCAACGTCTCGTCGTTATCTTTGTGCATTCTCAGATCTAGTTAAGGCTGAACAGAAAAGTGAAAACCTCGTAAACACAACCTTGGCAGGGGAAGCAATGTTCCGCCTCCAAATCCCCCCACCCACGGTTTTTGTCCTGTTTCATCGTATAAAGCAGTCCATGATAACACCCTCCTGCTAGACTCCCCTCCCACCTTGCGGCGAGCAGTTTTCTTTTTGTCAGACTTCATCAAGTCTCCAGATCTACGGTGGAGATCCAGAGATCAGACTTAAAAGTTGCGGTCATCAAGGAGATGTTTAATCTGTTGCTCAGTCACACGGTCTGAAAGCAGGGGCATATAAAATTGAAATACAACTTTATTTTTTTAGATCTTTGTGATATTAACTGGTTTTGATGTCAGGAAGGAATTTAAATCATGTGATTTTTAGTTAAAACCTGATGGATCTCCGTCCAATTTCAAGCTATCAAGTGTGTGAAAGCTCATGTACCCATTTGTCTACACCTCAGGGTACCAGGTAACACTTTGTTACAGGAAACAGGGACACAGAGGCCCAAACTGATACCTAAACATAATCCCTAAGCACCCCCCATTTGTGCATTTGGGCAGAGGATTAGTCTTATTAAAGGCTGTATCAGTGCAATTCAATACAGTTTATTGCTGTAACAGCAGTTCACAACACACGTCATCACAAGGCACTTTTCGACAATTCAACCAGTGGCGTAGGGCTTAGTCAATGTGTTGCCATAGCAATGACAGCTTTCCTTTTCAAGTGAATGGAAGAGGACAACCCACTCCCCCCACCCCCCTTCAAATAAGGCGCCATCCTCAGCTGCTTGTCTAACTTCACCAGGAGTGACACTCAATAGTGAAGGGACAGTTTGGGATTGGGACAACCACAGGGCAAAATAGAGGCACCAATCTACCCAACCCCTTGATGCCCGTTCTAGCAAATATGCATCAAATCGGTTGTATTACATAAGTAGGCAAGATAGCTTTTGAATTCCCCAAATGTCTTTTAAAACAAAAAAATGTAAAGTCGTAGGGAAACAACTGGTCCAACCATTGCATTTCTGAATTTTCCCGAGTGGTGCACGATTTTTCATGAGTGAATAAAGTGAATTGGATCGGTTCATTATCAAAAGGGCGGGATTGTTGTGACGAAAGGTTCGCAAGCCAGTTTGGTTGTGGTCGGTGTCTCGGAAGCATCTTGCAAACCAGTTAACAACTTAGTGCTAGTAGGTTCCCAATGGGAAATTACATTGGGACCAAGTAGCACTTAGCAACGACACTGTCAAGGAACGCTATGGACAGCAGAAACATGCAAAAGGAGAGTTTTGTGTGGGAGGTCCTGGATGAGTCTCCTTCATACATTTTTTTATTTAGAGGAAAGCTGGGACAAACTTGTTGTGGAAGAGGACACCAGAAGCTTGGTTTGGTGTAGAAGGCTTACAGCCGTACATGTTTGAGCCCTCGCCTTGTGATGCTGCCAGTTCTGTTAGCTCTACGCCTGCCAAAGGCACAGACGTCTATCCCTGTAAACACTGGGACGGAACTCAATGGGACAGTAAATTCTTATTTCAACCGTTGCGTATATTAGCTGCGACATATGAATCAAGATGCTATGACCAAAAAATATGATGGACAGATGACGTTGATATACAATTGGCCGAATTTAGGTGTACAAGCTGATGTATAACTAACTGGCCTGCATAAGATAAAAAAAAAAACATTTTAAGATAGCATTTTAAAAATAGAAACTTTGGGACAATACATTTATATAATATTTATATAATATTTAAGCAAGAATGATTTGACATTTAAATATGATTTCCCTACAACTTTAAAAAGCTCCCTCAGCAAGGACTCAGGAACCTTTGGCAAACCCTTGTTTCTAGTAGACCTAGTCCCTGATGGACATTTCTTATACTCTTGAAGGAGTTAAAACCGGCACTGCAAAAGATGAAGCCAGTCAGGGAAAAAAAGAGCTCGACCATGAGAGATTTTTACAAATCTGTACCATCAGTTTGGTTTAAAAAATTTTTTTTCTTTTTATTGTTACAATGTAAAAGATGTCCTGTTATTCGTTTTCTGATAAAATCTGTTTTCTACAGTTTTATTACTTTTGATTTTAACTTTTAACTGCTGCAAATTCATTAAAGCCTTATTTCTCTTGTGCAGTTGTCAAGTCAGCAATGAGCTAAAAAAAATTATGTATTTGAGATTTCTTTAAGAGGAAGACAACGAAACCCCCGTATAAACAGGGAGAATGTGAAGAAAGACCCGTAACCTGAGATGGAGCCCAGGATCTTTCTGCTGCACAGAAACTATTCAACGAAACAGATTAGTTTTTAAAAATTTGGATTTTCTTAAGAGCACATCCTGGTGTTTGAATTGGTCAAAACAGATCTGTTAGATCTGTTAAGAAAACTAATCTTGAATCCATTTCCCAGCAGTTGGGAGGGATGTTAAAACCTTAGGGTGGTGCCCAGACCCCCCAGAAGCGCTCCTGGCTAAATTATGCTCACTTTGCTCTTCCATGCTGAGTAATGGATATGCTGACCTTCAGTTTCGTCTGGAAGTTCTCTCACAGCTCTTCTAGATCATGCTGTAAAGGTCAGAATGACAGGAAGAAAAAAAAAAAAAAAAAGGAAACGATAATCCTGCTGGAAAGACAACACTAGCAGCTGGAAATATGCAAACAGAGACGTGGAATTTGATAAATAACTCAAACTGTGGTTTAAATTGTTACAAACTTATCACTCAGACATCGGCGTGTCCTTGAATGCACCACCCGGTGAAGTTTTATTTCAGTAATAGTTACAATAATGACATTTAAAGAGGACAAATCAGTTCATGTTCAAACATACATTTTTTTCTGTGCAGAGGTTATGAGCAGTCAATATCTGACCTGCAGGAGGTATTTTTCTTTTATTATCCCTAGTGAACCAAAATGCAGGCCATTTTCAATCATCTCCAGGCTCAACAGTCTATGCAGAAACCATTCAATAAACCTTTATGCTGCCTTCATGTTTGAGTTGGACCTTTTTTTTTTTTTTTTTTTTTTTTAAACAGAAGCCTTTGTGTCTTTACTCTAAAAAACATGTTCCTTTTTGCAGCCTCACTTTTAGAAATTACAGCAGAGTGGGTCAAGTTTTGAATGGAAAATGGTTTTACATTGTTTGCGGTTTCTTTAATGGCAGGAGGGTTCTGTGATGGACAGTGGTTTGTTAATTATTGACTGTTTTCAGATGGACCAAGTGATCTTTTAATTTACAGGGAAATCTATTCAGCTTATCAAATTGAAGACTTAAGAATAGTCATTAAGAGGTGAGATGGCATCTGCTCATAATCTCTGTACAGAAACCCAACAATGCTTTTAAAAATCGTCGTTCACAGGATGCAGCTTTAAATCAACAATGTACCAGGCTTTAGGAATCATCAGGTCTCTATGTGATACGCGTTTCAAATGAGAAGGCATTCTTTGGTCCCTAATCTGGTCCAGTTTCGTCTTAAGCTCACTTTTCTCGTCATGGCCAAAGTCAGAGTCCCAGCTTCTGCGTTCCTGCTGATGGGATGTTTCCTTCCCTCTTCAGGGGTTGTTAATGATCTGCCTTGGCCGGCCGTAACCCGTCATACCGGCTTGAGAAGCTCCACGATTCGTGCCCATCTGCAGGCCGATGACGTTCCTGCCTTCATTCAGCTGATCCTCTGAAAAATCTCTCCTGTTCTCCTGTGATTTCCTGCAGTTGTATAAAAACACCTGTCAGCTTCTGCTGCCTCAGAAATGTATTATCTTTAGGATTTGGTCACAAAGAAAGAGACTAAAGAAGTGTTACACACTTGGGGAACCAGTTGGGATCTCCTTTGTAGTTCCCATCATTCTTTGTGACAGCCAAACTACCCAGAGCCAGCAGGGTCCTCTGGACAGCAGCCAGGTCCTTGCCTGCAAACATGAGACAGCCTTACTTGAACAAACAGCCTAAGACGAGGAAGAACATCAAGTTCCTCATTTATTCTGGAATATTTCCCACAGAACGTATAAAGCTGGAGGTTTCCTTACTTTCATAAAGGTCTACAGTCTGGAACATGTCAGTTTTGGTGACTCCGTAGCTTTCTGCAGCTTTGAGGAACATGGAGATTTGCTCCATCTGTTTGAAAGCCATGGTGGAGGTTTTTATGTTCTTGATTGGCTTGTTGGCTCCATGCAGGCTGTTGATGAGCTCACACAGCACCTGAACACAGAGGGAAGCAAATCTTTCATTTATTTGCGGAGTCCTGTTTACATAACCAATACGTCTGCAGACCAAACACTCACACATCCATCCTTGAGCCACTGTTGGAAGCCGGTCTTGTCTGGCTCAGGCTGCCCCACTTCAGGGCCACACTGAGCGACGATCCACTTCACCAGCCTCTCCTCCAGTTCCGGGTCGTACTTCTTATCAATCTTACTCTGAACCTCGCGGCTCAGGCCGTAAGCTGGACCCCTGTTCGCCATGTTGTTCCTATTGAGGGATGATAAATGTTAGCGGTAACTAAGCTGGTTGTTTGCCCAAGCCTCCCATCCTGCCTGCGCAGGGTTTCCACACTGCAGCTGCACTTATAGCCACATTCTTGCCCAGCACACATTTTTAGATGAATACATTGTTTTGGAAAGATCACATGATTTTTTTACTGCACAAAAGCATTTAGTCATGTTTTCCACAATTTGGTGTGTTTGAACATTAGATCCCAGTTATCGAATAAATTCTTCTGCAGTTTATTGATCAAACTATAGACTAAGAGGAGGGTTTTGTTTTTTTAAGTTTCCAGTTTATAAGGTGTAAAATAGTAATATGTATCCCCATGGGTCAAAAACAATGCAAATAAAAGAGAGATCCAAGTTTAGCTAGCCTAGTGGATTCTGTTTTTATAAGTTTCCCTTTTTCAGAGATTCTGAGTTTAAGCCCCACTCCCACAGACTGCAACTCTGGGTCCCTGAGGAATGACCCTTAACCCCACACTGCTCCCTGGATGCCGCACAATGGCAGCCCATAACTACTAAGGGGATGGGTTTAGCCTACCACCATCAGTATGTGCGTGAACAGTGGGGGATGAAGCATCATGTGAGAAAATGTTGGGGAGATTATCCAGCAGAAAGGAAATCCTGACTGAAGAATGACTTTGTTCTTCTGGGTCTACTACGTCTCAGTGGTATAAATTACAGTAAGGACTGAGCTGCAATGATTAATTCACAACTTTCTAGTTCTATACCTCACTGCTTTCTTTGTGGTTTTGCTGATATTTAGCATTTATATACATGCCCTCCCCCTCTAGTTTTAGATATAAATTGGCACTGCAGACAGGTTTAGCAAAGCACAAATCTGGATCAGCTAAGAAAGAGTGGCAATAAGAAAACCTGTTACAGGCTTTCCACGAGGCATGTTGTTTACAAAGCAAACATGCAGACAATGGGAACCAAAACCATCTCGGCTGAGGAAGATTAACGATTCTTTCAGGGTGGAAAAATCATCTCTATGATAAGACACTCCATCCAATTGGACAGTGAGCTTTTTAGAATCATGTGCAAAGTAGTGGTGATTTCTCTTTGAACAATAGGGAGGCTAAACCTCTACTGTAAATTTTGTTAGATTATCTGTAAAATATGCATTCTTAAACTTAATAACTGTAGTCACTATACTGCACTAAAATGCATCTAATTTCATGTGGAGCATTAATCAGCTGCAGAATGCTCCATGTCAGCCTCTATGAGAAATCCCTGCTGAGCTGTGAGCCTCAGTCTGCTGAGGTGAGCAGAGAGAGTAGAGCCCTGATTGGATGAAAACCCCAAAATACGTCACTTCTAGAGAAGCTAAACATCTTAGGGGGGTCTGTGGAGCAGAGCGGGTCTCTAAGCTGACTTCTGGATGCTGATTGGCCAACAGACTGAAGGATTACTGACAGCAGCCAGACAGCGAGGAGGATTTTCACATTTCTCCAGAGGAAAAGTGATCAGTCAGAACGGTCATCTTGTGCTGAACTGTTGCCATGGTTTCTGGAGTTTATTTCAGAGCAGCTTCACAGCTGCCATTTTCACTGGCTGTACTGATGCGTTTTATGATTTTCAATATTTCTTAATGCAATATGTGACATTTGGATTTAATTAGCACCATTGAGCCTCGCCTGTTTTAGAGAGCAGCAGCGGCCACCGGTGCAAAGCTAGTACAAACAGTGATTCAAAGCTGACTTATGGAGTTAATTTGTTCCCTTAGCAAATAAAGGTTAGAAACTTAGCTCTTCTCTTAGGCTTTACTTTTCATAATTACTTTTATTTTTTCCTCCAAATATTCAAATTTTCTTAACAGATTTTGTATTTTTATTTTTTAAGTTTCCCTTTTCAGATTGAGTTTTTCAAATTAAATTATTTTCAGATTACACTATTGATCACACTCTGACAAAAAAAAAAAATATTACATAAAATACTGTTGCTAACGTCCAGCTGACCAATAGAAATGAGTCTCAAGAGGAAAGCCCCGCCCCCAGAAGTGAGACGCATTTGATCAAAGTTTTGTGATAAAATAGTTGCAGGTAATTGATTAGTGGAAAGAAAATACAGTTGGAAGGGTTGAACGTGTAAATACTAATGAAAAGCCACTTTAACTGTTTTATTGCTCTTTATTGAAATAATTATTTTTTCCTGTGTGCATAAACTATAAAAGGTAAAACCAGTTGCTGCTCTGAGAGAGAAAACTCCACAGCCTTTGTCCCTTTCCTAGTGTCTCATTTAACTTTGGGCTGTAAATAATCATGTGTACAACAATGAGTGGTGGCTTTTCCATTTTCTAGGCCATGGTAGTAATTATCCAAAAAAGACATGAAAATTAAAGTGATGGATGTCTCGGGGAATTACACCCCCACCCGCTCTCTGTAAGTAATTGTGGTCGGCCTATCCGAGTTATTAATGCTGTATGCACTTCCTGTAGAACCACCCAGCTCCCTGCATCCTGTTTGCTCACTCTACTCACACTTCCTCTCCCCCTCTTCCTGACAAAGGTAGCTATGAGCACAGAAATCTAAACAAAACAACAACATTTGTCACCATGGGAACAAGCTTTAAAATGACAAACACTGCAGTCAGAAGCTAAATTCTAACAATAATCGGCCCGTCTGCTCAGAGATGCAAAGCCCTGCAGTTTCTGGATTCCCAGAGTTCCAGATAACAAATGTATGGAGGTCTAACTAAACTCCCTCCAGACTTCATGCAGTCCAGAATGAATGCACAGAAGCGCTGTTTTCTTTAATTACCAGCGTAAAAGGAGAATTTAATTTGATCCATGAAGCATTAGCTCCTCCCGGGAAGAGACACACCTATTTGGTCCATTGCAGCACAGAATTACACAATAAGCGATGATAACATGACGAAGGATCTCTTGGATATTGTCGCTCTTAAGATTCTGCTTTCAGTGGTTACAGATGGGGGGGTGGTGGATGCTGGGGTTCCTCTTTCTGTCCTGTAAATCATCTTGTTGCCACAGTCTTGAAAACAAACATCTACAGTGATGTTTCTCAATCTGAGGAGTTTCATCAGCGGTGTCCTGGCTTGCTCGGGTTAACAGCTTGCAGCTGCAAACATCAGGACGTCTCAGTCTGAAACCAGGCATGACGAAGTCAAACTCGCTGCGATAACCACACAATTTTAGAGCAGTAGATCTCCTGTGCGGTTCTCTGCAGCCACATATTGCTTATCCTCTGACCTGAAACATAATGGTCTGCTATCTGAGTGTTTCAGAGGCGTTTGTATTCAGGTGATGGACTGGGGCTTCAGAAAGGGTGTCTGGAGCATCCAAGCATTTCGCACCATCAAGTCCCCTCTACTACTGGGGACACAGTGTGTTTAGAGGTTTCTTGTCTGAGCTCAATATGGTTTCGCTTTCAGTCAGGGGTCAAACCGGGTGTGCTGCGCTGTGAGATCCTCAGAAGATTGTGACAAGGTTTCATGCCTTTAACCAAGAGGTTAAAGAAAAGTCCCCAGAAAGATTTACCTTTTTAACAACAAGCAATCGTGTCAATTTTGCCAAGACAACATTTATACCTGTAATGGTTTTCTGATTTAATAATTAGATGCAAGAGGAAATATAGATTATAAACCCCGGAATTTCTGTTTAACTTATTCTACTTTTATTGTGAGTAAACATTCCAACAAGTTGAGAGAAAGCTGGTTAGTCAGGCTATCTCTCCATGTAGCCATCCTGCTAACAGGCAATGCTTCATGTTAAAACCTGCCAGAAAATCCAGTGTGAAAGTGCTTTGTTTTCTTTTGTCCTCCATTTCGTTTTAACAACATTCCTGCTAATGCTATATCCACATGAATGAGTGTACAGCGGGATAAAAAAAAGTTTTTTAAACATGTTTGAAGTTTATAGGAAAATTATAAAACTAAAACATTTTTTCTTAATAGGAATGATGCAATAAAAATAGCTGTGACATTTCTTGCTCTTCACACCTTTCTATTGATAGTGATTCTTCAGTTAGGCTATGATTTACCAACTGTAGAACTTGCAGAGTTTTTAGTTTTACTCTGTGTGTGCTGGTTTACTAGGGAGAGAAATGTGTTCCAGTATTATGAAAAACTAAAAAACGTGCTTAAAAAAAAGAAAAGGAAATCTTGAAGAAAATGCAACAAAAAAAGCAACTTTGAAAAAGTTTTAGAGTAAGTAAATATATATTTTTTTTAGATTATATTTTACAACTTTATTTGGGAGACCAAGTTTCCCAAATTGTATTCTTTTCAAATCCGTGTACAGATTTGACCTTCGACACTTCTGGGTGACCTTTGCACGGACCAATAGAAATTAGGCTGCTCTGTTTGGACATTATTATTAGCATTTCTATTGGTCCACAGACAGAAGTGTAAATGGGAAATTTGTAACAAGCGATAAAAAAAAAATTTATGATTATAATCCTTATAATTCAGTATTGCAAGCAACTTAAAAAGAAAATCTTAAAAAAAAAGAAAGATTGTCTGGAATTTGTGGTACATAAATCAAAAGGTTTGAAAAAAAAATCTGAGAAGAATAGTTGAAAATCTAAAGTCTAAAATATTTGTATCACATTTGTTAAAGATTTGACATAATTCAATCTGAAAAAAAAAAAAAAAGAGTAAAAATATTGGTGGCACTTTGCATACACCGCAAACAATTACTTAAAACCTTTTTTGAAGTTTTTCTAAGTGTTATTTCTTAAACACATTTAATGCAAAATTTCCTGCTTTTTTATTATGGGCCCTTTGCTTTTAATAATATTGGAACAAGTTTCTCTCCATAGCCTACTCCCACCACCCTTTTAAACATTCATCAAATTCTTTCTTATTAAGGAATGAACTCAGTCTTCTTGATCTTTCTAATATTTCCATCTTCTACATTAAACCCCCGCCTTGCTACGCCTTTCTACCTGAAACCCAGAGAATTCACTTGTCGACTCTGCAGCACCATCTGTGCTCCTCATAGTCGTGTCATTTCCCCACCAGCACTCCTACACCTTCACATCATTATGACTTGCAGTAATCCGTTAGCAGGCTTTCACAACTTACTTGCTGTTGCACCACAGTTTGAGAAAATCTACTGATTTGATATCAGCTTTCATGTTTGTTTTGCACCACGCTCAACTGGTCTCACTTTCAAAACTCTTCACCCATGAAGAAATTCACCTCATGCCTGACATGAGCCATGTGTGGACAGATAATGTTCTGAATTCACTTCCTGAATCTGTTTGCAGAGCAAATTAACTATGGGCGAGTTCATGCTGGTTTGTGGAGAGGCAGAACACAGGAAAGTCTAAATCTAGAGAATCAACTAAATATTAACTCCAAACCTGTGTATGATTTAACAGAAAGGAAGGAATGAGAACAAGAGAGAGAGAGAGGAAGAGGGTGCGGCGCTTGAATTATTGAACTCTTTCATTCTTCCTGCATGGAATATTCCACAGCTTCAATAAAAAAGGAAGAAATCTCTACAACCAGAAATTATTCAGAAACTGACAAAGCCCGTGAGAGTTTTTACTCACCTTGCAGCTGCTTTCAGGTGAGTAGAAGTGAGCTTGGCCTTGAGTTGCTCTTCCTGTTCCCTCGGTGGCTCAGTGCAGAGTGTGTAACCAGCACTAATACAGCAAACACCTTCTGGCTAAACTCAGACTACAGAGAGAGAGACAGAGAGAGCAGTTACGCCTTCAGACCCTCTTATTTCACTGTATGACCCGCCCCTACAGCTCCAGCTTTGTTTCCTCACTAAAATTGAAATTCCTTATTTAGGAAGAGGAAAGAAGGGGGAAAAAATACAGAACATGTGACCTAGAGTGGCGTGGTTGCTGAAATGAATTCTCCAAATTTCCCACTCAACCACAGGAGGACTAGATGGGATAAAGTGTGTGTGTGTGTGGGGGGGGGGGTTACATCCTCCAGAAGCTTCAGGATCATATAATGTTACTGTGATTAAAAAGAAGGAGCACATGTAGGAGATTATGTTGCTTTAATTGAAGCTGGTGGTGTTTGTGGTTCATCTGAAACTACGGCAGCGAGCAGGAACAGAAAGAACAGGAAGACATGAAACATCTGATTCTGACAGCTGGAACCAGACTGTTAGGTTTAGAAGCAATAGTTTGAGGAAACGTGCTCGAAGACGAGCAGAGGCGATCCCCTCCGAGGCATTCCAGCAGGAGCAGGCCTGGACCCGCCAGGAGTTTAACATGAAGATAAGGGATTGTTTCTGACATTACTAAATTCTTAGAAAAACACTCAGGAATTCAGACCCCTGTGATCATTTTGGGCTCCAGCCGATGTCAGGGCTGTTTTAGGAGAACATGGGAAAACTTTGCAGCCTGCCTTGACTTTAGGCTTGCTGTTTAAATAATGCAGAGCCTTGCAGAAATTAATATTAGGTAAGATTGTCTAAAAATGTATGCAAAGAAGTCTGAATTTGTACATACATTTCTTTAATGTCAATAAATTTAAGATCAATTGTTCATTTTGGTCAACTCAAAGATGTAATATCAGATCATCCGTGAAAAGTCCAGTTAAGAAACTATGAATACCAGTTACACAACTTTTATTTATACGCAACCTCGTGAAAATTCAAGTACAAATTTACCAGTCCTGATGAAACCTTTACACTCCTTACCAGTTGGGGGCAGTAATGCACCAGAAGTTGTCCACCTACAGTACCATTAACAGAAATGTTATACTGTGCATGTGTGGGGTGTGTTCAGTCCAGTAGGTTGGACTGGGTCCTTCGAAGGTCGTGAAAATAAGGAGGCCGGAAGAGTTCGACTATAGATTCAAACCACTGAGCTCTATTTATCAAAATAGAGATCAGTTATTCAAACAGTTCCAGCCTTCTCCAGATCCGCAATTCCAGCCGTATTAAACAGGAAAAGAACATTGAGAAGATCCGTTTTGTCAAATTATAATAGGATAACCACAAATCAGTAACTATTAATTGGAGCATACATTTTATACTGTCTCAAAAAAGAAGGCAGTTTGCAAACTATTGGTACTTCAACATACCAGGAAGCAGATTTCTCATCTTGATTGTAATATTTATTTTATGCTGTAAGGCTTAAAAGTTTAATCAAATCCAGTCACAACAACTTCCAAGAGCGCATTTTACAACTTCAAAAGCAACTTCTTATGGCAGGCATGGATGAAGAGATGCTGAGTTTGGAAGTGGAGAACGGATTTTGTATGATCCACATTGATCATAGGCGTTTTGATGGCGTTTTAGCGAAAGGATTCTTATCCAAAACATAATTAATGTGCACAAATAAGGAATAGTTGTATAAAACATACATGTAAACAGAGTTTTATGGGGCCCACAGGAACTTGGGGCCCAAGGCAACTGCCTAGTATTGCCTAATGGTAAATTGTGAGGTAAATTGACCTGTGATGACATGATGTGAATTGGAGCTCGAATCAGATAGAAAAAACTTCACATCCACTTGCCTAAACTGAACCTTTCAAGATCGATCAAGGTTTAGAGCAATTATTCCAATTTAAAGAAGCAAACGGGCTCAGAAGGCACACAGAGGTTGCCGCTTTACTTAAACTAGTAGGTTAAATGTTTGGTTAGCATTAGCAGACCTGGAAACAGGCTGGCAAACTGTTCGGAATGAGAACGAGCAAACGCAGATGCACCACTTATTGGCTGGGAGGAGTAAAGAGATTTTGGTTATACCACCATCCTTCAACATTTGACTACTTTTTACCTCTGCCAGTAAATGTGAGGTTGCTGTCTGTTTATAATGACACAAATATGAGCTAAGAGGCAGATGTTTCTCTGTAGGAGCTGCAGATATTCACAGCACACATCCTATGAGAATCTGACACAATTTTCATTTTGAGATACAAAGATACCTTCACAGTATATTTGATAAGTTTCTGTGAACTCAAGGGAGACTAGTACAAAAGAAAAAAAAAAATGCAAATAAAAAATGTTGTGCAAAGAATAAAAGCAACCATACCAGAAAATAAACAGCAACATAGAAACATGCTAAACACAGACAGAGGAAAACTGATGCTAGTAGCAAAAACTGCATGTTAAGAAACGCTGCAAACTAGCACTGCATAAGTTCTCCAGACCACTAGGGGGAGACAATGTCTTCTGTTTGGCATCCCGTTTTTTTTTTGCTAAAGGTCTTTTTATTAGCAATGTTTACGTGCTAGTCCTATATGAGTCAACTACCGTCTCCCTCTGGTGGTCTGGAGCTCTTCCATTGTGTTGTGTTAGTATGCACCCTTAACCTGCAATTATTTTTGCTAATTGCAACATTTTTCCTTTGCATGCATTCTATTTTTGTCTCATTATGTTTGCAGGACCTTTTCAGTTAACTGAAATCATGCATCTACATGGAGTCTACACGACCGCTGTAAACAAATTCTGAAAATCCTGCAGGATTTTCCGTTGTGGGCCGACGTTGATAAAACACATTTAGGTCAGTTGCTGTAACCTGAAATAATGTGCAAAACCTCAATGGATAAACACTTCAGCCAAGGCCTGTCCCCCGTTTGAATTATTCTGAAATTTATGGCAAACATCTGACAGTAAATCTTGGCTAACAAACATCCAGCGATGCACAAACATTGAGTCAGACATGAGAAATTCCACATAGAGGTGAAGCAAAAGCCTGCTGGGCTACATCATCTTCTCTCCCATAGACACAGTTATTCAGCCAAGGAGCATCCAACAAACCTTTTGTGTGGATCTACCCTTTGATTTTCGTTTTTCCTTCTAATAATATAAATGGCTTTAATGATAAATGTTCGTTTGGTTTTAGAGACCCTTTTCCAAAATGCCTCAAAGTGATGAGCTCCAGGTTGTCTTTGCAGTTTTCATCATTAGAGATTGTTCCTGCTCTTTGGCGACATCTGGTGGATGAAGGGGATAGATAGCAGCCCTGATCTGTATTTACCTCCCTGTTGCTGCTGGGGTCAGAGCAGCTTGCCTCCTCTTCCTCCTCCTGCAGGTCACTGCTGCTGCACGTAAAAGCAGACAGTCGGGTTTAAGAGGCTTCAGAAAGTCAAACCAAAGAAAAGGACAGTAGCTCAACATGAACAGACAGGAAATGAGACAAATGGCTGGGGAAAAAAATCAGAAAGTATAAATAGAGGGTTAATGAGGACAGGTGTGCTGATTACACATTGGAAACGGCTGTGAGGAGCCAAAAACCTGGTTCTGGATTTTAAAGAAAAAAACTAAAGCAAATGAGATAAATAAGAAACAAAATAAAACACAGCAACCTCATTATGAGAGCTCACATGGAGAGTTTGAGATGTTTTAGATGTATGCTGTAACTTTGTCTCTTTGAAGTTAAAATAAGTTTATTTATGTAAATAAATAAAATAAAGAAATAAATTCATCCTTCAGAAAAAAAAAGGTGGCGTCATTGTCTGGTGTCATTTTCTATGGAGTGAATTTCTTTTCAGTTTAAGATTTACAAATTGGATTCTGTTCAAATTTTTTCCAGATCAAATTCTCTTCAATTCTATGGATTGGCTTTTCCTCTGGAGTGAGATGAAGATTAATAATCTATTGGTCTAAATGTGTGTTATAACAAATTTTGTTTTGTATACACTGTTTATACAAAATGACAATAAAAGTTGTCTAAGTCTAAGAAGTGCACCATTACAGAAGTACAGAAGCTAAGTTTGAATAAAGCAGGGTTGCTCAGTGGTGCAGTGGGTAGCACTGTTACGGGTTCAATCCTGGACTGGGGTCTTTCTGCATGGAGTGTGCATGTTCTCCCAGAGCAGATGTGGGTTCTCTCCGGGTACTCTGGCTTCTTCCCACAGTCCAAACACATGGCAGTTAGTTTAATTGGCTTCTCTAAATTCTCCTTAGTTGTGTGAATGGTTGTTTGTCTTGTTTGTCTCTGTTGCCCTGTGATAGACTGGCAACCTGTCTAGGTTGCACACACAAAATGAATCAATGGATGGCTGCTCAGTGCTCAGAGGAAAAAGGAAATGGCGCTGAACAGTGGTGAATATTGGAAGTGCAGTTTAATATAATCCAAGTCTGTGAATAGATCCTTCTGAAATGAAGGAAAATAGTTGTTATAATGGTGAGACTCAGATAAGTGGGGGGTAATTTTTGGTTACGAAAATGTTTTATCTGGTCTGTGTGAATGGGTTTGGCTGACATTTAAGCTCAGATTCTAATATCTCTGCAGTGTGGAGATTATAAATCTGATATCTGTGACAACGGTACTGCTGCTGAAGATTCTCGAAAATGTTATTAGCACCCAGAACAGTAGTGAGAAGTTCAGTATTCATTCTTTGTCTGCTTTGTAAATCAGCTATCACAGTTGCTAAGCAACTAGGCAACTAGCTTACGGGTGAGGGGCTGTAACAGCCAGGGAAGGCTGGACCTGTTGGATTCTATAGCCAAAACTCTTTCGGCCTCCTTATTTTCACGGCGTTTGAAGAAGCCAGTCCAGGAAGACCGGGTCGGTCCTTAGAGAATGCATCTTATGAAATCGAACACAGCAACGAATATTACCATCGACAAGACAGAAAAATATTTAAAACTTTATAAATATTTTTCAAACTCAAAATTATCTCAGTAAATTATTCAAAGTATTCAATAATATTTTACCTGAAACAAAACTACATAAATAAATCAAGTTATGTTAGTTATTTAAACCTAAAGACAAAGTCACACAGCAGGGCTTGGTATGC